ATATCCATTATATATATATATATATATATATATATTAAAATCAAAACGTTCTGTCGCAGATGACAAACCAAAACTGTCATTTTAGAAAATAAACCAGAATCTAATTGTTCAACATTCCCGGAGATATCTCGAATTTTGGTTGCGCCATCTGTTATTATATATAATAACAGATGGCAAAAATCTTAATTTTCAGAGTATGGATCGGTTTTATAAAAAATTTGTAGATGCCAATAAAATGCTAAATGTTTTTATAGTCCGACCTTACGGAGATAAACAGGACCCTACTATCTCACTCGACCTTTAACCACCAAAATTTAATAGCATCAATCGCATAAACAAGCAAATCTGCCTGAAAAATTTTTAAAAATTTCGACAAAACCACACACTAATATTCATACATACAGTAATTGTTTCCGCACACTTTTTCATTTCTCGGCGTTTCGAGATGTTTTAAGTCCAAAAATATAAAAATCTTTAGGGTCATTTTTCGACCAATCGCCATACATTCTCTTTGTTATATACAAGGGGTATAACAGTCGAAAAAGTAAAACTGCTGTATCTATTGATTCAACTTCTCCTGGATGAAATATGAGGAAACAAATAAAGACGGACAACAAATACTTTATCCACCCTTTTCGAAATATTATGTTTCAATAATTTGATTTTAATTTTAATTAAAATTTATTAATTAATTTTGATTTTACTTTCAATTTTAATTTTAGATTAACTTTATTTTATTTATTATTTTATTTTATTATTTTATAAGGTTAATTAATATTTTTACTTTTAATTAACTGTGTATCTTGTATTAATAAATATTATTATTATGTATAATATTAGATTAAATAACAGAAATTTATTAATATAACATAAATGTATTCAAACACGAAATTTTGGTTGCGATTTATAGTATATAAATGTCGTTTAAAAGGTGTTTATTAGTTAATTTAATTTAATATAGATTCGACTGCGGCGAGTATCGAAAAACGAAAATAATATTTTATCTGCATATGACAGCAAATCTAATTTAAATAGCAATTTCATCGATGATTCCTATCGTGACATCTAATGATGCGAGGCTACGTCGGCCCCACTAACTTTTGAATCGTAGTCCTACCGCTGATTGGTCGAGCCTTCGAGTTTCTTTAACACAGAAAGTTAATGATCTCTCGATCTGCCGAGTAGTGTTCGGCAACCGAGCCTAAATAAGTCAAATTTTGTTCGTGAACCGAATTGTTCAAAAACGAAGCCTTCGAAATCCGATGTTTGCTTGTATTGTTATGCATATATGCCACCTTATCCTATTCTTCTGATTAGCTTTTTCTGCCCTGATCTATTTTACGTGCGTTAGAGGAAAAAAAAAATTGACACCTATTTATAAAGTTACTTATGTTCAGAGAGAAAATTAAAAATTTACTTATTACTAAATTTTAAATCATATTCAATACATGTCTGTCATTTATATCAAAATATTCATACGCATATGAAATAATATTCTAGCGACAAAATTGTAATAAAAATTAAAACAAACATACTCGTCTACAACGTGCGCTGCTCCTATTACCGTCCTTGTTGTGATTAAAGAAAAAGCACCCTTAAATCTTTCTTTTCTAAATATTGCTACCTAAATTATAATAACATTTCTTGTAAGTACAGTTGCAAGAGGCGAAATGTTTACATGTATTAACTCACCAAAAATGGAAATTCTCCTTTTTCTGCCTCCCTTCCTCCAATCATCCTGAGTTCAATTACTAAAATTATACAAAGTTTTATCAGTTAGCGACTTTCTCACTTAGAAAGACATTCATCATTATTTTTATTTTTACTCGTCGTGTTCTCATATTTTTCAGAAGCACAGAAGTAATATTCAGCACTTAGAAAAAGCATTAATCCAACTCTGTTATTTGTCAGCATTTAAATAAAGAAATGTAAAAACAAAANCTTGGATTAATTCATATACCGATTTAAGTGAGTATTCAGGTTCCACAGTCTTTGTTAGTAAATCCTCTTCCGGTTCGAAAAAGTCTTTTATCGTAGCATACCTCGAGATATCAGTAGTATTCTTGGAATGTTCCTCAATTAAGTATTCCTCTCCTGACATTTCGCTTGTCTGAGTATTTTCTTCTATATCTCTTGTATGCTCTCTACGTGGTCTTCCTCGTCCCCTTTTTTGCATAACTGCTTGACTTGGTACTGGAGGAGATCCATCGGTGTTGCCAGGGAAGTCGCCCGGATAGGTAGCCAGTAAATGTGCTCTGTGCTTCGACCACGAAATCTTCTGTTTACTGGATATTTCAACATAGTGTCTTATATCGCTAGACTCGGAATAACGCCCGCTATCTGTGAGTACCACTCTTTTGAAGATTGACTAACTTTTTCAGAAGTTATTACCACTTGAACTTTTGGACATTGGTGTGTCGTTACGGGAGCGGATCACGTACTTGCTTTGCTTAATGAAGACGAATATGTCTCCTAGTCAACATATATGGACCCTGTTAATCTGGTAATCATTGGACTTATATATACAAAGTAATCAGTGTTCGTAACTCTTGTAGTTAACAAAGCCCTTTGTTATCTACACGTGGCATAGTCAGCCATTCGGCGTGTGCTAGCCGATCGGCGTTTAGAGTTCGGCGGCTAGTAGGTTTTGCTCTAGAAGCACTCTCTGGTCGGAACCAGCATTTCTCTAAATTCGGGTCTGTCGTGTGCTTTCATTTTGTCTCAGTGTTTAGTTATAAATTATCAAGTTTAGTCGTTTGGCGTGTACGGCGCCGTATCGGCGCAAACTCGCTTCTCGCTCGAACAGGCCCTGTCGGCTTACTAACTGACTTTATTCTTGTACTCTCTGTGAACCCTAAACTCGTCACTATAAGCCCCTGCTCTAGGTTGTCTAATTGGCAATCATCAGAAGCAAGTCATTTAGCTAGCCTCACTTTACTCAGCACTAGTCTGGCATACATTCTTCAAGTCCTCAAAGTTTTGCGTTCAAGTTTCTACAGCATGGCAAACGAGGACGACAACGAATCTCTCAACAACAGTTTTATAGAGGAAGACCTAATTAACTCAATTAACGAAAATCTCGAGGTCATTCTGAGTAACATACCTACAAACTCCAATGTATTCGTTAAATCAAAAGAGCGCTCTCAGGCCAGGGAGGCAGCAGTGAAAATGCATGCTGCTGCCAACCAAATCTTTGGGGTTATATTGGCCCTCCGGGAAAAAGTAAAGGCTCTTGAAAAACCCTGCTCACAACACATCAATGGCACATACTCTGAAGTGGTTAAAAGGAACCGAAAGCCGATGAGTAGCACGACCAAACTCATAACAGAAAAATCGGCAAAACTAGATGGTATCAAAAACCCGAAAAACGAAAGTCATGATATCATCATAACTACAATCAAGGACCTTGCCAAGCCAGCCCCCATTCCCAAAGACACTTTGAACCTGCTGCAAACCCATGTAGACCCTAAACGGCTGGGAGTTAAAATCAAAGGGATAAGATCTCTCCCCAGTGGAGATATCAAAATCCAGCTTCACAACGAAACTGATCTACACACACTGAAAACAGCAGTGAACACACATGATGCACTAACGGACAAGATCAGGGTTGTGGATAAGGATAAAAACCACCTAAAGTTATCTTATTCAATGTGCCTGATAGCGCAGTTGAAGAAGAATTAGTACAGAACATATACGGTCAAAACACTCATCTTCAGGAACTCCTCTCAGAGGAAGATTTCACTAATAGTACAGCTATCAGTCACAGTTTCCACCCTAAAGGCAACAGCCACACTCGGCATGTCATCCTAAGCGTCAAGCCGTGTATCCGTAACTCCCTCATGCAACACCGAAGGGTCTATATAGGCTGGAGTTCCATCCTGTTGGATGATTACATTTTCATTACCCGGTATTTTAAATGCTCAGGCTTCAGCCACACTTCGCACAATTGTGAAGAAAAGCAGCATTGTACTCACTGCACTAAAAAACACAAATTCAAAGACTGCCCAAATTTGCTAAGGGAACCAATATGCATAAATTGTAAAAAATACAACAAATTGGTGCCAGAAAACAAAACTGTACAGACCAATCATAATGCATTCGACAAAAGCTGCCCAATGCTTAAAAGATACAAAGCCAATCAGATACAAGCAACCCAGTATGAATAATGGCCTCCTTTCTACCACCCAAAATGGATGACCACACTCAGGGTAGCAATCCGAACAACAATCATAGGCAACCCTCCAAAGACTCCCTCACTATCTTGCAAATTAATCTTCAAAGGAGCAAGGCGGCAACCTCCAACACAGCACAAACTGTCATAGAGAAAAAGGCTGACATCTTGGCATTCCAAGAGCCATATCTTTTTAACAAAAAGGTCGCCCTGCTTGGCAAGGGCAAAGTCTACACCTGGAGCACTGAAAACCATCCAATAAAAACAGGATTCCAAATCATCAACGACAACCTGACCGTCCAACTGATAACCCAATGCTGCAGTGGCTATATCACCACTATTAGGGTAAGTCACGGTTCCCAACACCTTTACATCTTAAACGTCTACGCCCCACCCTCTGAGGACATCCACCCCCCTCTGAATGAAATAAGAGAGTTCTTCAAAGTTCTCCCTGCTTATCCTGTTCTAGTCTGCGGTGACTTCAACTCGAAATCTCCTATCTGGCATAGCCCCATTGAAGATCCGAGGGGCTATGCGGTGAGTGAGCTGATGGCGGAACTGGACCTCCAGTCTCTTAACTCCAGCCTACTGCCTACTTTCTCTAGTAGCAACGGGAAGAGCTGGATTGATCTGTGTCTGGGAAACAGCAATTCTATGAAATTCAATATTAGCTGTCAAACGCTGGATTACGTCTCGGCTAGTGATCATGCATATATCTTGACTGAAATCTCTGGCATAAACTGCCAAACAAATCTTAAAATACATAACCTCACCAACTGGGACCTGTTTCAGGACCTTATTAAACAGTATTGGGATCCTACTGGGTTAACATCCATCACTTCTCACCAAGAAATTGACTATGCTGTTGAGCAGCTTCAAAGTGCAATCACCATGGCATATTCCCAGTCCACAAGGATCAAAATCGGTAAGCCCTCTGCCCCCTGGTGGAGCAGTGAGTTAGACAACCAAAGAAAAAAGTACGAGCAGCGAAGAGGCGATGCTGAAGGGAAACAGACCCCCTCTAACAAGCAGCACTTACATCGGATTTTTCAAAAGCATCTCAAAGATTATAAAGCCCTAATAAACCGTTCGAGGAGAAACGCGTGGCAAAAATTCTGCACAGCATCTAATGACAGGGGTCCCTGGACAACCCCGTACTACACTGCAATCAAAAAAAGGAAGCCTCTCGCAACTCCGGCAACCATTTCTGACTCTCACAGCTTCACCAACTCACCAGCAGACACCTATAGGAGAATTTTCTCTGAACTTTTTCCCCCTGACAACACTAGCAACGATACCGATCACAATCGAGAGATGAGGAAACAGAGTCTGGACACCTTATCTCAGGTCAATGACAGGCCTTTCTCTGTCCTGGAGGTATCACAGCAATTCAACAACATCAAAAAGCGAAAAGCCCCAGGGCCAGATGCCATCACCTGGAAGATGGCCCAGCAGGCTTATGCTACTATCCCCACCACTTTCCTGGTCGTATTTAACAACTGCCTGAACTGCGGATATTTCCCAGAAAAGTGGAAGGAGGATTCTGTGAAACTTATTCAAAAAGCCCAGGACACTCCACCTACAAAGGCTACGGATTACCGCCCTATCTCTCTCCTTTCTGTGATTGAGAAGGTACTGGACGCTCTCCTCTCTGAAAGAATCCTATACCACCTTAAAGTTAACAATACTCTAAACCCCAACCAGTATGGTTTCATGAAAGGAAAAGCCACTCACCATGCCTTGGATAGGGTCATCAAATATGTGAAAAATGCCAAACAAAAGGGCAACCACACTATCATTGTCAGTATTGACTTCAAGGGGGCTTTTGATCATGCCTGGTGGCCAGCCATCCTGGCCATTCTTTCTAGGGCCCACTGCCCGGTCAATATCTTCCAACTACTGAAGAGCTACCTCAACGACAGGAAGGCCCTGGCAATTGATAATGGTAGGGTCCTCCACTACTCCACTATTTCGAGGGGATGCCCACAGGGATCGAAGTCAGGACCCCTCCTGTGGAATATCTTATATAATGGAATCCTCAACCTTTCCAGGCACGCCCCCCCAAGATGGTAACCCTTATGTCCAGGGCTATGCAGATGATACCATCATTCTGCTATCCCATCAGAATCAAGAAGTGCTTCAGGACTACACAAACAATTTCCTAAAATTGGTCTATAACTGGAGTCAAGATAATTATCTTCTCATCAATTATGAAAAATGCAGCACAATGGTCTTTCCTAAGGGAAATCCCCTCAAGAAAAGGCCCTCCATCTGGATTAATGGTCAGAGAATTCAATATACAATCACCATTAAGTATCTCGGAGTCATCCTGGATCCAAAACTGTCATGGAAAGACCATGTAAACTACTCCTATGACAAAGCTATTACTGCAAGTCATAAACTGAGATCCATTGCCAGGAATTGTTGGGGCTTGGACAGCAACAACAGCAAAATCATTTACAAATGCGTTGTCGAACCCATCCTCACCTATGGATGTGAAGTTTGGGGTTACACAGCAAACAGGACCTACATCCGAAGGAAACTCCTCTCTGCTCAGAGGGCTGCT